TGTTTATATGGCTTCTCAAATGAATCGAGACGTAACAGAATGTTTTCGTTTGCGGATTTGAATAGAATTCTTAACCAAGCATAACGTAATTAGGAATTCTATTCAAGTAATTTTGCATGCGTAATTAAGATATTTGATGAAAACACTAGTGACTTTCATCAAGTGTCCAAATGGCATCTTGTGATCAAATAGGTGATTATCATTGGCTGAATTACTCATGAATTATTAATGAATTTGAGAACTACATGTAAAGGCTAAAATGCATAACATAAAATAGCGTCCCAGTGTTCATGCTATAAAAGTTCATGTTAACTGTTGTTCAGGTTCGTACACCGCATCCAATTTAAAATTCCATTAATTTTCAATGACTCTCCATGACCATTTTTCAAAAGGCCTGGAATCATGGTAAATAAAGATCAAATATTCAATGAAAACACCGGTCAAACCTTCACATGCGGCTAAACCCTAAAGAAACTACCATACACTCTCTTTTGACTAATGAAAAATAAATACATTTTTTGTTCAAGTACAATCTTAATTTTCCACGACTTTCTATGATTGAAACAATTTTTCCAGGATTTTAGGCCCAGTTCACTGAAGAAGAGTGAAGAATTACCTAATGTTGTTTACGAATGATGGTGGAGCAGTGGTTACCACATTGCTCGTGCAGGGCAGGAAGCAAAGACCGATAAAAAGGAAAGAAAAAAAGAACCTGTGCAAAGCTAGCTTTATGAAGCGCGAGGTAGTTCTCTGAGATATACATGTACCCTGGATTCCAGAGCCTTCGACAGTAAATAAATTGAAACGTCGCGAAGGCTCTGGAATACAGGGTATCTGGAAGATTCTTTGATTAAACCGCGCCAATCACAAAACAGAATTAGTGGTTTTAGTACAGATTCTGTACTAAAACCACTAATTCTGTTTTGTGATTGGCGCGGTTTAATCAAAAAATCTTCCCGTTGAACCAGAGCCTTCGCGACGTTTCAATTTATTATTTACTGTCGAAGGCTCTGGAATACAGGGTATCTGAGATATGGCTTAGGAGATGAACACGTATCTAAGCACGCAAATTTGCTGAAACAAACGTATAAACTTCCTCCACTCTTATCTTTTGAGTGATCAAGAACCCGGCTCTGTGGTCAGCACTGCGTTTGGAAACGTCCTGTTCCCAGGCCAAGGAAGTATTCGTGATGTAAAAATCAAGACGGCGTATTAGGACTGCATTTCATTCTAAAAAATAACACAACCTGCATACAATTACTGTACCTGAAGGAGAGACATGTAAATTTCTCCATTCAACAAAATCAATTTTGACAATTTCTTCTGAGCTTTCATCAACTCTCCAAGATAAGGGATGTTCCAAAAACATCCCTCCATCAAAAGGGAAAATCGTCACAACAATCACACATCTTTCTTCGCCCTCTGGTTTACCAATTACCTCCACAAATTCCACAGACCACTGCTCATCATATTTTGGGATAAAATCAGGTGTGCCCCAAATGCGGACCATCTCTCGATTCTCGTTATTTCTTTTCATCACCTTTTCTACCATCTCTTTAACCTCCCTTTTCTCATCTTCACCCTCAACAAGTTGGCCTTTTATCGTCCCATCGTCATGAACGCCGAAATACACTTTACCGCCATAGTAATTTGAAAACGCAGAAACATAGTTCGGTAAATGACTATCAATGCCTTTCAGCAAGTCTTTCATGCTACCTCTTCCATTTTTAATGAGCTTAAACTGTACAGTATCGCTTTCATCAGAAGAAACTTTTTTCTCAAAATGAAACTTATCAAGTTCCTCATCAGGGGAATTGGACGTAGGAGTACCTTCTGTGTACCCGCTATCAAATGCCATGTTTTCATCACTCATTTCGAGAGATGATGATTCGCGATGAGAAACACTAACGCTCTTACGATTAAGAATATTCAAAATATCCATGTAAGTTAATGCATCGTTAACTCTACGTTCAAATGGTATTTTCAATCCACTGCTTTGCGTACAAACACGCTTTGACTTTGTGACAAACAAATAAAAATACGGAAACTTTGAAGCACTATTGTAGTGAATACATTGTTTGTAAACAATTTGTGTGAGTTTATCAATCAGAGTCTCTTCCAGCCCCTGCATCCATATGTCTCGTTCCTTAATTATTGTCTTTTCATTGTTTCCACTTTCATTAATTCGAATGACTCCACCGGCGGAGTTTAAAAGGGCAAAAATGTGCTTGATAAAATTTTGAACTGTTTCCCTTTTCTTTTCCCTGCTCTCGTGGTAAATTATATCAATGTCAAATGAAATCTCGGCAAAGGACAGACCATGCTCACGTTCATTCTGCTTACTTCGCTTAGGAGAACTTTGTCCTGGAAGAGAGAAAATATATGCAGGAAAGCAAACCGACAGGCAACCATTCAAATATTATATAAAGCGGTAATAGTAAATGATTATGTTAAAAGATACTGTTTCAATATATATAATTGTCAAAGGGACCAAAATAATTTCGCAAGGTTCCCGAACATAGCGATCGGGTATTGCGACTTACATTTAATAAAATATATACAGCAAAATACTGGCCGATCAGAAACAAATATTTCTAGAAACGGTCATCTACAGTAAAGTCAGAGCAAATCTGCCCAACGTCTTTATTCTTCATGCCTTCATGTGGGGAAGATTTATGACGGAGGTCAGTATACAGGGTCTATAAAAAAACTGAACAGATTTGAAATTGCTCTCAATTCTGCATAACAGCTATTAGTATCCAGCTTTTGATATATTTTGCTTCTTTGGGTGCTTATTTTGTAGCATGGAAAAAATTTCTCGAACACAAATTTTGTAAACCAGGGGGGTGTCTTTTCCGACAAACTAAAAATGGCTTGCGCACGAGATTTAAAAGCTATAATCGTATTTTGAGTTAATGGATGAAACATGTGTTGGTGTTTAAACGCTACACGAAATTTCAGACAATTTGCTTCAGTTTAACCCTTTAACTATTCACGCAAACTTACATTTTTTCCTAAAAAAAATCACCATTTGCATGCTTAATTAATGCATTTGCCTAATTTGCATATGTCAGCAATATGTAAATTAGGTAAAGGTTAATTAAGCATGCGAAAGGCTGATTTTTTTAGGAAAAAATGGATAGTTAAAGTGCTTAAACTAAAGCAAATTGTCTTACATTTTGTATAGTAATTAAAAACTCAACAAATCATCCATCCATTAACTCAAAATACGATTAAAGCCTTTAAATTTCGTGCGCAAGCATTTTAGTTTGTTGGAAAAGACACACCCCCTTGGTTCACAAAATTTGAGTTCGAGAAATTTTTTATTATTCTACCTTAGAAGTACCCAAAGAAGCTATATACATCAAAAACTGGATGCTAATGGCTGTTTTGCGAAATTTAGAGCAATTTCAAATCTGAATTTTCTGTGTTGGTGTCGTGTACTCAGGTGAATAATATGTTTGCGATGTTACTCTGAGTGCATATCCACACCGGGCGAGCTTGAAAAATATGTCCGGCCACGGTGGGATTCGAACCTACGACCTTTGGAATACTAGCCCAATGCTAGAACACATTGGTATTGAAGACATATTACTAGAACACATTAGTATTGAAGGAACTAGATACTGTTCCGAAATATCACTTACTCGAACCGTCCTGACCGCGTAGCTCAGTTGGAAGAGCATTGGGCTAGTATTCCAAAGGTCGTAGTTTCGAATCCCACCGTGGCCGGGCATATTTTTCAAGCTCGCCCGGTGTGGATATGCACTCAGAGTAACATCGCAAACATAATTTCAAATCTGTTCAATTTTTTATACACCCTGTATATATATTCTATACTGATGTCCGTATTCTATAGATCTTGTAATCAACCTCGTGTATATACAGTACATGTATAGTTTTCCTTATACCTGAAGATCTTCATTATCGTCGTTTCCACCCACGAAAGTGATCGTCACATTCGTCAGGTCACTCCTGTCTCCTGACAATGAGTCATTCCTGACGATGGGTCCCTGGACGATCCCTTTCTTGGGTGGTTCCTTTAAACCAATACAATTGACAAATTTCCAAGTCTTACCAAAACTTCATTGACAGTTAATTTAATAATTAGTAATTTATCGATTGTGCCACAATCGGAAATTACCGATTATTCATGCAACAATCTACCCGATACCGATTTTATAATGACGTCATAATATCAGTCGACCGAGTAAAGGTGACGTCATTCATTTCGATTTCTTAATGATAATTTCCAACGTAACATGTTACTGCAACCAAAGTTCGTTAGAACCGTTCACAAAAGGCACGTTTCACGCGGATTCAGGCCGAGCGTGTGTACACGCAACGTGTATCAACGCGCAATGTATAAAGTGCGTATTTTCTCAACAATTGATTTTACAAAATCAGAAACACATTTAATTCTACCGATTCCGATTGTTTACCGATAAGGCAAAAATCGGCCCGATATTATCGGTCAATCACTATTAGTGATTATCAATTAAAAAGAAAAACAATCAAATATATCCTTACTGCTATAAAAGTACTCATTCGTATAGCATTGTCATGAAATTTTTCGATTAGGTCACTTTTACCTCTGCAATTTTCATCCTCATTACATTCAGATTCTCCAGATCTAAATAATTAAATTGTGAAAAATACTTAAAACACATTATAATATTTCCACAGTACGAGAGATTGAGTGCATCCATGTAACAACGTGAGGTCTGTACTGTTGAATATCAGACCGAGGTTTTTTAGTATGGACCGAGCGACGAAGGAGCGTGGTCCAAGCAAAAAACAGAGGTCTGATATTTTACAGTACAGACCGAACAAGCGAGGTCAATAATCGGTTTATTATATGGCTGAACTGAGTCTGTGAGCATATGCTTTGCGCGCGAATTAAATCGGCTATCGTCAGTTTAACTGGGTAACAATATACGGTAGACATGCATGCTCAATCAAAAACAATTTGGTTGTTTGAAATTTTTATCTGTAAAGCACAATTGGAAATTTAAAAAGCAAAAAGTTTTTCTGTTTGCAAAGCAAAAATTTCCCGCCAGATAAACGACATCCGGGACACCGGTCCAGATACAGAAAATACGGACCACGGTCCGGATATGGGTTTTTAAGGACCGCTTGACAACCACTCAGAATAGAGAATTTTGAAAAGCCACATAATATTTGTTACCATACAAAATTATGTGACAATATTTACAATAACAATACCGAAATATACACCGTGCATGAAAGTTAATCCAACTTTTTGGCATGCTATTGTGCATTAGGTTGATAGATTAACTTTTTTCACACCAATAAAGATCAGGCGTTGATACATTTTTGCAGCTATCATACATCAGTAAACCGTTTACCACGCTTCTTAAAATTTGATGTCAAAGCAAAACTTTAAGGTGGCTCGCTACAGTTTATAGAAATGTTGAAAATGCGTAAACTAGCTAGATCACCTTTTTGAAGAGATGATGCTCTTTACAAATCGAAATTTGTATATTATATATACAGCGACAATCAAACAGTCGAAAATTGGTCAGAAAAGTGACGTCACCACTGTTGCTATGGCAACAATGACGATTCAAGATGGCCGATATTTTGGCTTGGAACGCATTTTGCTTTGAAAAAAGGTCGGTTACCCCCATTTTTTATTTCAGAAAACATTTTCTTATAGTACAATACACTATCTGACCAATTTTAAAAAAATTCTGTAAATGCCAAATTTTTTAAAAATTTCTAAACATGGTTTTTCGAAATAATTTTTTTTGCATTACAGAGTCCATGTCAACAGGGTTATAACCCACAATGAGAGACATTAGCAAGAAATGATTGCATGAATACAAAATTTGAAGTCAATATGTCAAACGCTTATTGATTTAAGGCCGTTTTCCACTAGTCGGAATTTTCCGCGCGGAGCGGCACTTTTCTTTGTCTTGTCATTTCTCGGGTGGAACTAATTAGAAAAGACAAAGAGAAATTCCGATCCGCGCGGAACATTCCGCCTAGTGGAAAACGTCCTTAAACAGCTTATAAAATTTTGCATGATTTTATGTGTATGTGTCCACTTCCGGTTTAGCAGTTTAACTTCAAATTCTTATAAAATCAGTTATGTTGCTTCTTTTCCTTCTTGTGCCAAGGAATCTGAAAATAACCTCAGAATTACCATACCACAATAGAATATCCATTATCAAAGCGATAAATAATGTTCTGACTTTTGAAAATTTTACGACCTCTCGATTTTAAGCAAAAAAATTCGGTATCTCCGGCCACGTAAACCACCAAAAATGTCAAATTTACAATTTGTATCATAAGGAGGCGAGTTTCAGCTTAGGCCGAAAACTGTATTTTAAGGTGGCTCGATATAGTTATTACAAAAACCCTGCTCAAGAATCGCGAACTCAAAACCGGGTGACCATTTTTACGCGCAGGTCGCGGAAACTGATTAACAAATGAAAAAGAACTTCCAAAATGACCTGACGTGAGCAATTGCTCGCGCCATATCACGCCATTGCACGTGTTCTATAGCATTTTATGACAATTGCTGACGTCATTAGAATTTTCCATTTTAGAAAAACAATGCGCTATATCTCTTTATTTTGTCTGGTGACTTATGTTCAAATTTTGCATGCTGTATTGCACTGCTAAAAACTTTCATTATACAAAAAATAAAAAAATTCTGTAATGCCAAAAAAATTTTACCGAAGAATACGACATTTTCGCATTTTCCAAAAAAATGGCATTACAGAATTTTTTTATATTTTGCTAATTGTTAGCTTTTCGTCCAAGTAAAATAATGCACGAAAAAAAATTGAGGGTCACCATGCTTTTTTTCCAACTATACGAGGCGATAGGCCATTTTGGAGTGAATTTCGTACACGTATGTCGCCATAGCAACGAACTATCTGTTACTAAAAATAATATAATTTGAAAGTAGAGTTATCAAAATATATAAAAAACCCAATATCTGCTGAATAAATCCTAAAAATACGTAGTTTGAACATGTCAAAGTGTTAAACACATTAATTTCTGAAAACTGTATCGAGCCACCTTAACACATCAAGAAACGAAATACGCCCATTTTTTGCTCTCTCGCCAAAGTCAATATTATGCCAAACAAGGTCAGCGGCGTCAAAGTAAAAATACTATCCAGCCAGTGAACACCTCTGATAATGGCAACGAGTGCAGCAGCGACTCAAGTGACTCAGAATACTGTTATGCTGTTAAAACAAATGCCCAGTACTAAGTTAAAAATCAGTAATCAAAACGTGCAATTTACTGTGGACACTGGTTCAACAATCAACCTTGCTGATGCAAATACATGTAAACAATTGGGTAATATACACCTACAGAAAACACATATCAAAGCCTACCCATTTAATTCTGCTGAGCCTGTCAAAATGAAAGGGAGATTCCAAACAGTAGTTGAATCTTGTAAACGAATTACAGTCAGCAATGCAACAGCGCAATAATTAGGACTAATCAGTCTGCACCTCAACAAGATTGAAACATCCAAGACATCACAACAAAAGGATAAAACGACAACTACTTTCCCAGTAACAGACAAAACGGTACGGAACATTTTAGACAAGCACAATAAAGTGTTCCAAGGCGATGGAAAACTAAAAAATAGGTACGCGACGAGTACATGTATCTGCGAAAAAACTTGATTCACATTTTGTATTTTCTTGAAAAGAACTGAATAATGAAGATGACATAGACAATTT